GCAAATATATATGATGTGAAAGTATATTCAATAATGAATCTAATGGTATTGATTTGTTATTGTATATGTTATTATTTTTGTCTATGAACTTTGTGAAAATTTACAAAGTTTGACTTTGAGCAAAGCTAAAATGCGGAGTAAACAAAAACAGAGGGAGTATGCAGGGACTAGTATAGTTACTACTGTCGGAACATGGTAAGTTGGACCCCTAAATGCGGGCACGAACCGGGAACACCTCAATTATTCTTTCAAACAGTCGGACACCTACATTTATCATACCATCCGGCTACTTAATCAAGTGTTACGCTTCACTACTTGAAAAGGAAAAGGGTGGCACCGTACCCAAAACCACCACACTTGGGGCTAGGGTAACAACTTGGTACTGTACCACATTTGAACCAGGGCACAAAAATCACGTTCTGCGCCTAATGCACAAGGCGGAGCACCGACGCTCGAATATGGCCGGGAAAAGAGGGAAACCGACATGTGGGGCACACCTGTCGGGACGACATAGCGCAGACTAGTCCAATGGAGGAGCTGGCCCACGACCTCCTCGCCACCGACAACCGTTCATGTGGGTTGTGGGGGCCAGCAACATGGCACAACTCCAGCAATGCCTCAGGACAGGGCGACCGCGGTGACTGACACGCTCATCGTCGTTGGACACGGTCGGTTTCGGTGTGCCAAGGGTGGGGTAAGCGCTATGGCACGACTAGCAGATCAATACCCGGCTCGTCGAGGATGCACGGGGCGCCGAAGTGCGCGCGCGCCGCGACGCGTTCATGGAGTGGTGTAGCGCGGCCAGCTACATCCCCGGGACCTGAGACCATGCCGGGTCGTCTTGCTTTTCAATGACATGTCGGGTCGCATGTGAGCAAAGGGCATCTCCAACTTTGCCACGACCGCAGCTGACTACCCTGGCACACCAAAGACCCTCGTCCCTCACGCCGTCGCGCGGTGCGTTCCTAGCCAGCAGCAGCTGCCCGCATTCATTCCGTCTGTCCGTATGTCGTTGTTAAGAGGCTCAGTGCCCGAGGAACAAACTCCGGCAACTTAATGACATGCCCGGACGCTTTGGCCTCACCGGAATGCGCTACTTAAAGCGGCAATGCCCAGCTAACTCCACACCATAGTGCATCATCCTGCTATCTGGCGCCACATCCGCCATGACCGCGAGCGTGAACGCTCTGCGGGAGAGCTTTATCTTCGGGCATGAAGCTCGAGGTCGCCGCCCTCGCCCAAGTCGCTGCTCGCGACGCAATAGCGGCGTAGAAGGACGCGGACTCGACCGCACAAGTGGTGGCCACGATGGCGGCCGATGACAGGGGCACCGTCAGCCATGCGTCCTACTTGCTGCCGTCCAACGTCCAGCACAGCCGAGGTCGGGGACTCCTCCGAGGATGATTAGGGCATGGGAGGTGGCAGGGCATGGTGTGCCAACTGGCCGGTCCGTCTCCCGTGTTCTACTCTTCCTCGTCGGAGACTGCACCTTTGTCCTGAACCCTGCCCCTGTACATGGAGATCGCAGATGGAGGACGTCGGTCACCACCGTAGAATAGGTTCAGGGTTAGGTTTCTTTTATTTTTTTGTCCTATAAAAGTTTGAAATGTAATGAAAATCTGCCGTGTTTGCATTAATCTCGGCCGGCGTATATGAGCTTTCACAACAAAATAGTATATTGTAGGAGTACTAGCAAGATTCCCATGCGTTACACGGAACATCAAGATCTTGTGGGAGAAAAGGATGAACGAGGGAAGGCGTTATCTACAAATATGGAGAGGAGTGCGGGTAAATTGTCATAGTTTCCTTCCTATCCATTAGATATAGGTCGGACGGCCTATATTGCAGGATGGCAGGCACACCATCATCACCAAATCTGCTTTCTATTTTAATTGAACCGAGACAAAGCTAACATGCAAAGTAAATAAACACATAGGGTCTACATACACAATTTATGTTAGGCTAGTACATCCACTACACATTCACGCATTTCACATCTTTCTACATCTACGGGAACCTACGAAAGGGTTAACGTAAATTGTCTCTCTCTCTCCTCCCTGATTTTCATGGTGGTGGGCCCCTCCCTCCCCCAATCTACAATCAATAGCTCACACGTTTCACATTACGTTAATTACGTAACTGGGATTACGTAGGTGTAGCATTACGAGTCCAAAAAACCCAACTAAGCCAACCTCAAAGCCAGCATCACGTGTCACGCCCTGGGTGTTTCCTCCGAATTTTTTCCGCACATATTTTTGGCTTTATAGATGGATTTTTTTAGCTTTTTGAATTATTTTTTGTATGCAAAATCAATACATTTTTTCGTTACAGGCATTATTTTGCTTCCGCAAGAGGCACGGTTGTGCCTCTCATAACTGAAAAAAACGTGTTTCTTTTCTTTTCTTGCTTTCACAAGAGTCACAGTTTTGCTTCCGTAAGAGGCACGACCGTGCCTCTCGGAAAAGGAAAAGAGTCGTGTTTTTTTTGCTTTCGCAAGAGGCACTGTTGTGCTTCTGCGAGAGCCATGCCCGTGCCTCTTAGAAATAAAAAAACGATCTTTTGCTTCCAAGAGAGACACGGTTTTGCTTCATGAGAGGCACGGCCGTGCCTCTCGAAAACGAAAGAAATGTGTTTACATTTTTTTCTGTGAGAGGCACGGTCGTGCCTCTTAGAAACGAGCGTTTTCTTTTTTCTTCCGCAAAAGGCATGGTTTTCTCGCCCGGTTTTTTTCGTCTGTTTTTTTTGAGAAAAAAAGTTTGTCAAAACTTATGAACATGAGATCTAGTTTTGAAGATCTGGAAACGAGAAATTCAACGATGAAAGGGGTTCGAGATTTGGACGCGCGGTTTAAGAAATAAAACGTTTGAATAAACGAATCTATGAAAAAAAGAAAATTTTACAGTGTGCCACTTTTCGCAATCTAGAGAGGATGGAGTGACCTTGGAGTACTCCTCAATTAGTGATCTCGCTCGGCTCTTTTGGATGGAACATAATGTTCGATCTGGCTCTTCCTTTCCCGAGCGTTTGGCTCTTCCTTTCCCGAGCGTTCGGGAGATATCGACGTCCTTTATTTAAGCCAAGTGTGTCTTGCAACGATTTATTTTTGGGACTGTCTAGGTCTCAGTGGATTAAGACTTCGCGAAGTCTCAGTCGGCTGACGTCATCCTTGATAGATTAGGCCTGCTTGGCATCCCTCCCTAATGGGTTTTAATTCCCCGTGATGGGCTTGTGGTATGGCCTTGCTTGTTTGTTTGTTTTTTTGTTTTTACTGTCTGTTTGGCCCGTTGTACCTGTGATCTTGGCCATGGACGTAGCAAACACACAACAAAAAAGCAAAAAAAGCCTATGTATAGCTAAACGAGAGGAAAAGTTTGCTCCTCCCCCAGTTGTACGTTCTCTCTGTCAGGTAAAACCCTGAAGGAATCCCCAACACAAACTCCACTGACTGAGCGTTGAGTGGAATGCTCTTGTTCAAAACAGTTGTTTCGGCTTGTGTGTCAACATTATCAGCAATCCAGTGCACAAACCCCCTGGGTACAGGACAGTCGACCAGCTCCAGCAGATAGCCAAAACCATTGTTCCTAACAAGCTGGGCCCTGCGGTGGCTCTTCCACACGAGATTGACAATCTCAAAGAAGTATGGCACACTGCTGTAAGCTTTAGTTGCAATCTCATCAACGGTGGCCTTTATTGTGGTTGGGTCAATCCTTGCTCTCTGCTGCAAAAAGATATAGAAGGTAAAAAGGTGTGTGAATTTATTTGAGCTGGAAAACTATAAAAAAATGGAACCCCAACTGATGAAAAAAGAAAAAGAAAGTAGTGATGTACCTTCTTTTTTCATTCCAAAGAGCTTCCCGTTGTTCTTTCCTTTGAGCACTCTTACTCAGCTGGCGGAGGGAAAAAACAAAAAAAATACGTTAGGTTGGTGCAAGAAAAAAGAGGCAACACAGTTCATGCACTGTCTATTTTTTTTAAACAACAAAAACAAAATGTTAGAATTAATGGGCTAGGCCCATAGCAATTTCTGAAATCTCAAAGCCCATGTGTAAAATGGCAAGTGGTGGTGCTAAGTTTAGTCCCACCTTGGAAGTTGAAGAAGAGTTGGACCTCTTTATATAGTGGGTTCTCTCCACCACTCTAAGTGGTGTGTGAGAAGAGAAAGGGAAAACCACATGCGCGCGCTCGCTCGCCTGGCCCGGCCCGGCCCGGCCCAGGCCGGGCGGGGCGGGGCGGGGCGGGGCGGCGCGTACATGCGATATGCGCATGAATGGTCCGCCGAAATCCGGTCCGTCTCCTTGCAGGAGCGCAGCTTCCTTTTGCCGTTTTATTTTTTTATGTCTTGGCAGACAAGTTTTTGATTTGTTGTCCGGTAAGTATACGAATTAGAAACCGAGTCGGTTTGGGATTGTGGTCGCGACACAATACCGCCTCTGGTCCTAATATATATACAGCTACCGGCTGCGGCCAGAGATACACCGAAAAACACCTAGGGTTTTGCCTCATCTCACAACTTGCGCCGCCATCGTAGTCTACTCCATCCCAAATGCCGGCGTGCATCGGCGCGTGGGAGAGCAGGTCTCCGGAACCGTTCGTCTTTGCGATCCTGCACCGGGAGAGGACGAATTAGGTTTTTGGGAAGCGCTGTGCGCGACTGCTCAAATCCGTCATCACGGGTCGTCTTCCGTCCAAGTCGGGCGGTGCTACTCATCGTCGTATTCATCGCCGCCAGCAGCAGATCGTTGCCAACATCGTCATCAACACTGTCGCACCCATAATAGCTAACGATCAGTACGTCCAACATCCTTTGTTCATGTCTGTTTCTACAGCTATTGTTACATGCTTGCTGTTGTTATGCATGTCTTGCTGTTCTTCTAGTTTGCTAGATTATTGCATGCTAGTATCTCTTCTAGTCATGAATTATTTACTGGAATTAATCATGAACTTGCCTAATATTCCAACAATCCAAAAACCTAAATTTTAGGCAATTTCCTGAGTTAACTATGGCTGGATTCGCTGATGCACTGAGGCCGGATAAGTTTACCGGTGTGCACTTTAAGAGGTGGCAGGTGAAGACCACGCTCTGGCTTACTGCTCTGAAAGTTTTCCACGCTAGTGTTGGTGCTCCAGAGGGAATGACCGACGAAGATCGGAGAAAATTCCAGGAAGCCAATACTATGTTTGTGGGATGCATTCTGAGTGTTCTTGCTGACCGTCTGTGTGATGTGTACATGCACATAAACGATGGAAAAATTCTGTGGGATACACTGAATGCAAAATTCGGTGCAACAGATGCAGGCAGTGAACTGTATATCATGGAGAGTTTTCATGACTACAAGATGGTGAATAACCGTTCTGTGGTTGAACAAGCTCATGAGATACAGTGCATTGTGAAGGAACTTGAACTCCTTAAATGTGTTCTACCCGACAAATTCATGGCTGGATGCATGATTGCAAAGTTGCCTCCTTCATGGAGGAATTTCGCCACAACTCTGAAGCATAAGAGACAGGAGATATCAGTTGAAAATCTGATTGCATCTCTTGATGTTGAAGAAAAAGCTCGGGCTAAAGATACCACTGAAAAAGGAGGTGAGGTTCAGCCTACTGCTAACATGGTGCAGAGGTACCCACAGAACAAGAACAAAGGGAAGAACAAACCTGTTTCCAACAAGCCTACCAAGACTACTACCTTCAAGAAGAAGAAGTTCAACAAGGCTGAGCTAGAGTGCTACGCCTGTGGGAAGCCTGGACACTTTTCCAAGGAATGCCCTGAACGTGCAGACCGCAGAGGGAAAACAAGCTCCAAGACTGTCAACATGGTGACCGCTAGCAATACTGATGGGTATGGTAATTTACCTATTGTGCTTTCAGTATTTCAATCATCTTCGTGGTGGATTGATTCGGGTGCTAACGTTCATGTGTGTGCTGACATCTCCCTGTTTACTTCTTATCAGGTCGCAAGGGATTCTTCCGTCCTAATGGGGAATGGGTCACATGCTTCTGTTCGTGGCATTGGCACGGTGGATCTGAAGTTTACTTCGGGAAAGATCGTGCAACTAAGGAACGTGCAGCATGTCCCTACTATAAACAAGAATCTAGTTAGCGGCTCCCTTCTATGTCGAGATGGTTTTAAGGTAGTTTTAGAGTCCAATAAAGTAATCGTGTCAAGATTTGGACAATTTATAGGAAAAGGCTATGAGTACGGAGGCTTGTTCCGCTTTTCTCTTTCAGATTTTTGCAATAAGTCAATAAACCAAATTTGTGCTAGTGTTAATGATGATGCAAGTATTTGGCACTCTCGTTTATGTCATATTAATTTTGGTTTAATGTCTCGGCTATCCAGCATGAGTTTAATTCCGAACTTCACAGTTGCCAAAGGTTCTAAGTGCCATAGTTGTGTGCAATCTAAGCAACCTCGAAAGCCTCATAAGGCTGCCGAGGAGAGAAACTTGGCACCTCTAGAACTCATACATTCTGATCTTTGTGAGATGAATGGTGTGTTGACAAAAGGTGGAAAGAGATATTTCATGACTTTGATTGATGATGCGACTAGATTTTGTTATGTTTATTTGTTGCAAACTAAAGATGAAGCATTAGACTACTTTAAAATCTATAAAGCTGAAGTTGAAAATCAACTAGAGAGAAAGATCAAGCGTCTTAGGTCCGATCGTGGTGGAGAGTATTTTCCAAAAGTTTTTGATGAATTTTGTGAGGAACATGGTATTATTCATGAGAGGACGCCTCCCTATTCACCTCAATCAAATGGAGTGGCCGAGAGGAAAAACCGCACATTGACTGACTTGGTCAATGCCATGTTAGACACTTCTGGTTTATCTAAGGCATGGTGGGGGGAGGCTCTATTGACTTCATGTCATGTCCTGAATAGAGTTCCCAACAATAATAAAGAGAAAACCCCTTATGAGGAGTGGGTTGGGAGAAAACCATCACTTTCTTATTTGCGCACTTGGGGATGTTTGGCAAAGGTTAATATTCCTATTCCTAAGAAACGCAAACTTGGACCAAAGACAGTGGATTGTGTCTTTTCTAGGGTATGCTCAACGGAGCATTGCTTATAGGTTTTTAGTGGTAAAATCTGAAGTACTTGATATGCATGTTGATACTATAATGGAATCTCGTGATGCAACATTTTTTGAGAACATATTTCCTATGAAAGATATGCATAGCACTGCTAGATTTTCTTCTGAGACAATTCCTGAATCTAGTACAACTGATGAATATTTCGAACAATCACATGAGGAAGTCCTTGAGAAGGATAACAATGAAGTTCCTAGAAGGAACAAGAGACAAAGGATTGCAAAATCCTTTGGTGATGATTTCATTGTATACCTTGTGGACGACACACCCAAGACGATTGCAGAAGCATATGCATCTCCGGATGTAGATGATTGGAAAGAAGATGTTCATAATGAGATGGACTCAATTCTTTCTAATGGAACTTGGGAACTAACTGATAGACCATATGGTTGTAAACCTGTGGGCTGTAAGTGGGTGTTCAAAAAGAAGCTAAAGCCTGATGGTACTATTGATAAGTACAAGGCGCAGCTAGTGGCCAAGGGCTACACTTAGAAAGAAGGCGAAGATTACTTTGACACCTATTCACCCGTTGCTAGAATGACCACCATTCGAGTGTTACTTTCCTTGGCTGCCTCTTATGGTCTTATCATTCATCAAATGGATGTAAAGACAGCTTTTCTCAATGGAGAGTTGGAAGAGGAGATCTATATGGATCAGCCTGACGGGTTTGTGGTAAAGGGTGAAGAGAGAAAGGTGTGCAAGTTGTTAAAATCTTTGTATGGTCTGAAACAGGCACCTAAGCAATGGCATGAGAAGTTTGAAAGAACTTTGACTTCTGCAGGATTTGTCATTAACGAGGCTGATAGGTGTGTCGATAGTGTCATATTATGTTTGTATGTGGACGACATACTGATCTTTGGTACAAACATTAATGCAATTAATGAGGTCAAGTCTTTTCTATCAAAAAGTTTTGACATGAAAGATCTGGGAGAAGCCGATGTAATTCTAAACATCAAACTTATTAAGGATGAGAGTGGGATTACATTAACGCAATCTCACTATGTTGAGAAGGTCTTGAACCGATTCGGTTTTATGGATAGCAAGCCTTCTCCAACACCTTATGATCCCAGCGTGACACTCAGAAAGAACAAGAAAGAAACGAGAGATCAATTAAGATACTCTCAAATTGTCGGTTCACTCATGTACTTAGCTAGCGCTACAAGACCAGATATCTCTTTTGCTGTGAGCAAACTGAGTAGGTTCATGTCCAACCCGGGTGATGATCATTGGCATGCACTAGAAAGGGTCTTGCGCTATCTGAGAGGTACTATGAGTTACGGAATTACTTATTCAGGGCATCCTGCTGTGCTAGAAGGATATAGTGATTCAAATTGGATCTCCGATGTTGATGTACTTTACGCAACAAGTGGGTATGTATTTACTTATGGTGGTGGCGCAGTGTCATGGAGGTCTTGTAAGCAAACCATATTGACGAGGTCAACTATGGAAGCAGAATTAACTGCTTTAGACACAGCTACTGTTGAGGCAGAATGGCTGCGTGAGCTCTTGATGGACTTGCCGGTTGTTGAAAAACCTGTACCGGCTATTCTTATGAATTGTAATAACCAAACGGTTATCGCTAAAGTGAACAATTCTAAAGATAATGCAAAGTCATCAAGACACGTGAAAAGACCCATAGCAATTTCTGAAATCTCAAAGCCCATGTGTAAAATGGCAAGTGGTGGTGCTAAGTTTAGTCCCACCTTGGAAGTTGAAGAAGAGTTGGACCTCTTTATATAGTGGGTTCTCTCCACCACTCTAAGTGGTGTGTGAGAAGAGAAAGGGAAAACCACACGCGCGCGCTCGCTCGCCTCGCCTCGCCTCGCTTGGCCGGGGCGGGGCGGGGCGGGGCGGGGCGTACATGCGACATGCGCGTGAATGGTCCGCCGAAATCCGGTCTGTCTCCTTGCAGGAGCGCAGCTTCCTTTTGCCGTTTTATTTTTTTATGTCTTGACAGACAAGTTTTTGATTTCTTGTCCGGTAAGTATACGAATTAGAAACCGAGTCGGTTTGGGATTGTGGTCGCGACACAATACCGCATCTGGTCCTAATATATATACAGCTACCGGCTGCGGCCAGAGATACACCGAAAAACACCTAGGGTTTTGCCTCATCTCACAACTTGCGCCGCCATCGTAGTCTACTCCATCCCAAACGCTGGCGTGCATCAACGCGTGGGAGAGCAGGTCTCCGGAACCGCTCGTCTTTGCGACCCTGCACCGGGAGAGGACAAATTAGGTTTTTGGGAAGCGTTGTGCACGACTGCTCAAATTCGTCATCACGGGTCGTCTTCCGTCCAAGTCGGGCGGTGCTACTCATCGTCGTATTCATCACCGTCAGCAGCAGATCGTCGCCAACATCATCATCAACACTGTCACACCCATAATAGCTAACGATCAGTACGTCCAACATCCTTTGTTCATGTCTATTTCTACAGCTATTGTTACATGCTTGCTGCTGTTACGCATGTCTTGCTGTTCTTCTAGTTTGCTAGATTATTGCATGCTAGTATCTCTTCTAGTCATGAATTATTTACTGGAATTAATCATGAACTTGCCTAATATTCCAACACAAAAAAACAAAAAGTGGATATTTATAGATAAAGTGTTACACACCAAATGTCAGAACTTCTTCGTATAGCAAACCCTCTTCTTCGTATAGCAAACCCTCTGATGCTTCAGTGTCAGTGATCTCGACATCATAGCCTCTCTCTCTTCTAAATCAGTATCTTTAACACAACTTATCTCCGCCTTCTTCATTTCTATCACTCCCAGGTTTCCCTCCTTCAACTTCAAAAGCTATACCTGTGTGCGGCTGTGTTAAAAAAATGCATATGATACATTAGTGTTGCAAGTAACTTGTATATCTTGGAACATACTCTAGGCCAAAAAAGATAAACAGCAAATACAACACACACATGTTGCAGGTAACTTCCTTGTTCGCTCATGCTTACAGAAAAACAAAAGCAGCAGACATTGTAAGCATACAAAGGGTGATTGCATTTAACATACCACTTTGTTTAGGCAATCTCTTGTTAAGTCTTTGGACTCCTCCATATGATCCTGTGTGAAAAAAAAGAAAATGATGATGAGATCCAAAACAAACTGTGCAAAAAAGAAGGGGTTAAATAAAAAATACAGAAAAAAGACCGAGTACATACAGTTTTAAGCTGTTGACCTAACCCTTCTTTCAAGGAGGACTTGGTTTTAGTTTCTATCTCGCGTTCAATCTGCATGCGGGCATCCATCAGACACTGCTCATAAAAAAGAGAGACACTAATTTATCTAAATATATATCGCAAAAGTGGATTAACACAGAAACAAAAAAGAAAGACAAAAATACCACTGGATACCTTCTCAAACTTTATTGTGCAAGTGAGCTAAGAAAAAAAGAAAAACTGCCCAAAAATCATTCAATAAAGTTATGCATCAGAGAGTGTTGTGCCGATCTTAAATCTAAATTCAGATTAGGGGAAATCAAACACAAAGATTGAGATCATTTCGGTTAGTAGGGCGGGCTTGAGAAAAGGTAATGCTCAGTGAGATGCAGGAGGCCCAAGACAAAAAATCCATATAAAGAATCTGGGAGTGTTTGTTTTACTAGTTACGAGTACATTAACAAATCCCAATCTTGCTTTGCTTTGGGCTTGCTTCATCTTAGCCAGCAGCTTTGGGATGATGACAGTTCCGATGTTGGCAATATTAGGAGATGCCCTAATTAGCCGTGATGAATAGCGGCAATCTCCTATCTCCAGAGAGACAGCATGTAGTTGACTAGAAAAAGGGTAAAAACTATTAACTACAGTGGGATTAAAAAACACTTGTGAATGATGTTGTTTCCCTTCCTGCACTGATAAAACAATCACCAAAAGCCTCCATGCATAA